ATCCATGAGAAAGCAACTCAAATTACTGTAGAAGGAACCAATAATTCTGTGCTCACAAAGAATCTTTGTGCCCTCGAAAATGAAAAACTGGAATGCTGGAGCAATTTTACATTAACTCAGCCTGTCTTTATAATCTGTCTCTGGAATACTCAAAAGGTGACGTGGCACTTACATTTAAATTTAAAATGGACACTATTGAACCGTTGACAACAATCACTCCCAGCCCTAACACGACAATAAGTCTGTTTTTTGAAATTGGACCTTCAGAATATGGGTCAACAGATATTGTTTAGCCCTTCACGTTATTAGAGATGCACTTGGTGCAGCCCAAAACAATCTCATCCATCCATCTTTAGCTGCATCTAAGCTCAATTGTGGATCCAATCCACAACAGCTATGATTATAAACGAAGGTGAAGAAGGCACTTTACCCAATGAGATTCATAAAGTGACATGGGATAAGGCAAATAATTTTGAAAAAAAAAAACACTATATCCCTTGGAACACAGAGTGTGGGCACGAAAGAGTGAGAATAAATGGCAAACAATTGACATTAGCACACGCGTTGTGCAAGGGCAACAAGGATTCATTTGTGAAAGCAATACCATCAGAGCTCAAGACATCTGTCTTGACACTGAACAGAATGTTTGTCATTTTGAGATACATCCTGACAAAAAACCTAAAACTGTAAGAACTTCCTGTAATTCCATTTTGGTAGATAATGTTACTAGAAATATGAATGATCGCTCTAACCTTTGTATCTGTAATTTTGTAACTATCACAGGATGTGATTTTACTTATTTAGCTCTTATCACCAATTAACCAAATTGACTAGGAGAATTTGGGTGCTACTCACAATTCTTAAACATGAACAATAAGAATTTTTGCGAAAGAATTCGCAAGGATAAAGAAAAGGGGGGAAATGTTACCCAACAATAAAGGGGTTAAAGTTTTGTGTAACAGTTTCATGAAGGGTTCAGTGGCAGTAGGTGATTTACACATACCTAAAGAAACTAACAAGACGTCCATCCTTGAAGCTGCCAGGAGTGATTAAAACAGAGACTCTTTATCAAGAACTGTCTGCCCTTGGAGGGAACATCCCAGAAACTGCAGAAACTGCATAAACTTTGTTCTCATGTTTTTCTAAACTGTGAACATGCAGTGACTTGGGGGAAAAGGTAATTCTGGCAGGGGAGATCACGACCACCGACTCACGGACCACCTACTCTAATTACACCCCAGACCCAAAAGAAAGGGGCAGAGGAGGAAAACTGAGCATGCGAAGTAATTTACATGAAAAGCGAGAGAAAAATAACCAATTGTTTAAGAATATGTAAATATGTTATGAATTACGCATGATTGTAGTGTATAACTAATTTTCTGTCCAGAAGCCGGTGTGCACGCGAGGAGGAGAAATCCCCCGTGCACCCAGCACTGCAATAAAGAACACCTGCTTTCTAAAACTTTAAAACAAGTCTTGGAAAGTTCAGTTTCCTTTTCAGGTATCAGATTAGTGTGTGGTCTAGAAGAAGTGGGGGAATTGCCTCGAGCACTGAACAGCCCAGGAACAGAGTAGGGTGTTGCACCACCACAGAGTCATCCAGGAGGCTGGGACCCAGCTGCTCACTGAGTTGACGGGCAAGTGTCTGCCAGATGTGCATATCATGGAGTTTGTGTCATCAGGCCCTAAATCCTACAGCTTCTTGCAGTCTAGAGAAAAGTGTAATTCAGAGGTTAAAGGCATCACTCTAAATGCAACAAACAGAGGAAAGATCAATTTTGAGGCACTGAGGGATCTCATGTTGGATTACAGTGTGAATCTAGACAGTGACAACCCTAAAAAGATCATGATAGAGCAGTTCTGTATCACCAGCAGGAACAAGCAGAAGTGGGCAGTAGAAATCAAGGCCCCTTTGGAAGATGCAGAAGGTGATCTATGACAAGAATACTGTCTGAAAATTTAAAAGCCTTCTTTATGGTTTTTGATCATGGACATGCACTGGAAGTACACCTTTTCTGCTATCCTAGAAGGGCATAGCAACTGTGGGAAAAGTTATTTTGTAAAAAGTCTTTTGAAGAATCATAGAATGGTTGAAGTTGGAAGGGACCACTAGAAGTGATCTTGTCCAACCACCCTTCTGAAGCAGGCTCACCTAGAGAAGATTTCCCAGAACTATATCCTGGTGGCTCTTGAATATCTCCAAGGAGAGAAACTCCACAACCTCTCTGGGCAACCTGTTCCAGTGCTTAGTCACCCTCACAGTAAAAACGTGTTTCCTGACATTTTGGGGACAGCCTCCTGTGTTTCGGTCTGTGTTCATTGCCTGTAGTCCTGTCATTGGGCTCTCCTGAGAAGAGTCTTCGTTGTACATTCTGTCTTGTTTGATCAGTGAAGAAGGAGGATACAGTGTTGTGGGAGCTCCAGGCACTGGAGCAGAGATTCCCCTGAGGCCCATGGTGATGCAGGTTGCCTCCTTGCAGCCCATGGAGGTCCACAGTGAGCAGATATGCGCACTGCAGCCCATAAAGGACTTCATAATGGAGCAGGTAGAAGTACCCTGAAGAAGCTGTAATTCCATGGAGAGTTGGAACAGGTTTCTGGTAGGCACTGTGGTCCCATGGATAGGAGCTCATGCTGGAGCATATTTTGTGGTAGGACCTCTGGTCCTGTGGGGGACCCATGTTGGAGCATTCTGTTCCTGAAGGACTGCACTCCATGGAAAGGACCCATGCTGGAGCAGTTTGTGAAGAAATGCAGCCTGTGAGTAGGACTCACATTGGGTAAGTTTGTGAAGGACTGTCTCCTGCAGGTGGAACCCCACATGGAAGAAGTGAAGATCATGAGGAGGAAGGAACAGCAGAGACAACACATGATGAACTGCTGCAACTCCCATTCCCAGTGCCCCTTTGCCACTTGAGGAGAGGAGGTAGATAAGTCGGGAGTGAACTTGAGCCTGGGAGGAAGGGAGAGGTGGGAGAATGTGGTTGTAGATTTGTTCTTATTTTTCATTATCCTGATTTTGTTTGGAAATAAATTAATTTCCCCAAATCGAATCTGTTCTGACTGTGATGAGTGCATTCCCTGTCCTCATCTTAACCCATAAGCCTTTCATCATATTTTCTCCCACTGTCCAACTGATGAGGACAAGCAATAGAGCATCTTGGTGGGCACCTGCAGTCAGCCAAGGTCAACCCACCACACATTGCTGAGATCCTCTCTGAGTCTTCTCCTCTCTAGGGTAACCAGTTCCAGTTCTCTCAGCCTTAGCTCATAGGAGAGATATTCCAGTCCCTTAATTATCTTTGTGATCCTTCATTGGACTTTTTCCACTATGTCCATATCTCCCTTGTGTTAAGGAGTTTAGAACTGGAACCAGTACTCCAGGTGTCAGCTCACCAGTGCTGAGCAGAGAGAAAGGATCAACTCCCTCTATCTGCTAGTAACAGGTAGCTCAATGTAGCTAAGTGCAGAATCAGGTCCTACTGTCACTGTCATGTCTCCGCGGACCTGTGGTTATCTACTCACACAGCGCCTTTCCAGAGCTGAGTTGGGTTGCACTTCTGGGGCAGTAGAGCTACTGTGCCTGAGGAAAGCTGCTCTGTGTTTGCGGAAGGCAAGGCAGCACAGAGTCGTGCTGTGTGTTCGGGCACCAGTCAGTGTCCTGGGCCTTGCCTTCAGCCAAGGGGGTGTTGGGTTCCCAGGGACAGGGGATTCCAGTGTGTGGCCTGCTGTAGCTGACACCAACACTAACGCATAAACATCCCAACCCTACACGTGTTGGAAACAGGTGGGCATTGCCAGATGCTGTGCTGAGGGGTGATAGAGCTGCACAGGGAAGCTGTCCCTGCTGCCCGTGCCCAGGTGTGCTGACCATAGCTCTAGATCAGCTGATGGAGAGAAAGGGAAGGTGGAGTCGGGACTGTGAGCCGTTCCCCAAGCTATTTACCCATTCCCAATTCCTGCTATCCTTTGGGAACATCGTTTTCAGAGTCTCCTTCCCCAGCACAGCTCCACCCAAAGCAAGAGCAGCACACTTCCCCAAGAGCCTGTGGGACTGCTGACTTCCTGAGGCCCACAGTTCCTCTCTGGAGGACAGTAGTTGTCAAGATTCTTGTTCACATGACATGCTTCAGGGCCAAGGGGCTATTTCTGAGCAGAGACACAATAAGGCAAGGATTGATGGCCTTTGACTGTGGAGTAACTAGGGTTGTCTTCCTCAGCTTCAAGAGGGAGTGCCTGAAAGAGGACTCACTGCAGTGTGTCCCACCTTGCAACGCCTCCAGCAGTGATGAAGAATGCCCCGTGCTCCCATCTAATTCCTCTCCAGAACAATGGGTTTCTTCATCAAAACCAAGTATGCAGATAAAAAGACGACCTAAGGAACACAGGTAGGGTTGCAACAATTTTTTAATGAGTTTAAAGAAGGAAAAGTGGTCACTCCAGTGGAGTTCTCCAGTGAGGGATCAGCAGGAGCAGCTAAGTAGCTGTTCCTCTTCTCCTGTGGCAATAGAAGCAATATAGGGCTTCTGTTGACCTGCCTGTAAAAGGAAGACGGACAGGCTTGGGTTCTTGCCCAAGGACGTGGCCAGCAGCTTTAGCAGGGCTGACATCTGTTGCCACAGTAGAGGCTGGCAATGCAGGAGAGATCAAGCGACCCAGAGTTGATGGGCACTCCATCACAGCTGAGGATGCTGCCAACAGCAGCAGAGGTGGAGGAGCCCACAACGGTGTTCTGTGGGAAAGAGCTGAGGATGGGGCCGGGAAGGGCCACCACTACAGCAGGAGGCTCAATGACAACGGTGGAGTTCTGGCACTGCCTGACACAGGGCTCGTTGCAGCTGTTGGCCAGGGGGGTGGGGCCACAGGGTCGGCATGGCAGGCACTGGTCGTAGCAGAACATGTCTCTGGGCTGCAGAAGCACCTCGGAAAGAGGGCAGGGAGAAAGCAGAGCACAGGAACACATGAGCAGCAGTCTACCAGGAGTCTGTCACTCCACCACAAACATGTCAAAGGCATCTGCTGAGCCGTGAGTTAGAAACTGTTTAGTGAGGCAAAACAGTTACCAGACAGACACAGTACTGCAAGGATCACCCAGGCCCAGCGAGGCTGCTGCCTTATCAGAGAAGGGCAACCTGAACCAAGTTGCAGCTCCTCTTTGCAAGGAAATGCAAAGTGTCACTAGGGCCAAAGAGACTGGTGCCTCTCTCTTAAAAGAAAAGCTCCCTCAATCAAGTCCAGCACAATCTCTGAGGAAGACCTTCACCCTCTTTCCTCTCTCCTGGCAAGTAGCACTACAACCAAGCATAGGATGGAGGAGTGTGCCTCTGCATGTACACAGACTCACCTGGTTCCCGAAGTGGAAGCGAGAGAAGTGGATGAGAGAACAAAGGGTTCGACTGGCTTTTATGGTGGCCCTGACCTGCCCCAGGCCCAGAGGTAGTTTCTACAGAAGGGACAATTGTCTAAGGCGCTCATGATGAACGGAAAACATCCCAGCTAATGACATGGGCTGAGTGCTTGTTTTCCTAATGCCGCCTTTTCATTTCCTGGTTTATGCCATACCCTTATCTCATGAAGGCTTCTTCTGAGTGTTGGGAACAACAGGCCTCAGGATTTCTGGGGCAGGAATGTGACAGTTCTGGCAGGAGACTCAGCTCAAGTGCCGCATGGCTGCAGCGCAGGTGAGGGATGCTGTCCTGGGGCACACTGGTGGGGTTGCTAGTGGCTGCACTGACAGGAAGGGGCCCAGCTGCTCCCAGCCCTGCAATCCTTGGCTGGTCACCTGAGGGCTTTCTTGCGTGAGGACTTGCCATGTCTTTCTCTTTCCATCCCTCCCACCTCAGTCCAGTGGCAATTTGCAGGGCGCAGGTGGGCTGCACTGTGGGGTTTCATTGACTCTTTAAGTCTTTTACCCGTGAAACTGAGCAGCCTTCCCCAAGCTATGGGTATGGAGGGCTGCAAAGGTTATTTCCCCATTTTTGCATTGCTGCTGAAAATCAAAGTTATGTGGGCCCTCTTCTACTATTGGAGTATTATGGGGTGGACAGCACAATGCTTGAAGGGAAAAAATCACTTCTTGGCATGGCACACATCTGATGAGGAGAAGATTTTTGTATTTCAGAAAACCTGGATTACCATTGCCTACGAGATGTAAGAGTTCTAAGGGAAGCCTCCAGTTTGCTTAAGTATTCCCTGAACTTATTCTCTTCCACCAAGGATACATCTCCCTTGCTGCTGGTCTCAAGGACGTAGGATTCCTAAAGATTGATCTTGCTTGTAAAGGCTGAGGTAAGGAAGGCATTCAGCACCTCAGCCTCTCCATGTCCTGTGTAACCAGGCTGTGCAGCACCAGAGAAGGCCCACTCATTCACCAGTGGTACCACAATTCCTCTAGGCTTCCTTTTGTCCCCTGTGTCCTTAGAGAAGCCCTTCTTCTTGCCTTTGACATGACTGACCAGATTCAGTTCCAGTTGGGCTTTGGCTTTCTGAACTTCACCCCTGCATGCTTGGACAGTGCCTGTGTATTCCTCCCAGGTTACCCGTCCTTGCTTCCACCTTCTCTATGCTTCCTTCTTGTGGTTTGGTTTTGCCAGGAGCTCCTTGTTCATCTCTGCAGGCCTCCTGGTATGCTTGCCTGACTTTCTGCTCATTGGCATGGACTGCTCTTGAGCTTGGAGGAGGTGGTCTTCACCCTGGGATTGTGCCCTGGTATTCCGTTTTTAGAATCATAGACTCATAGAATCATAGAATGGTTAGGGCTGGAAGGGACCTTCAAAGGTCATCTAGTCCAACCCCCCTGCAAGGAACAGGGATATCTCCAACTAGATCAGATTGCTCAGGGCCTCGTCCAACCTGGCCTTGAACGTCTCCAGGGATGGAGCATCCACCACCTCTCTGGGCAACCTGTTCCAGTGTTCTACAACTCTTATGGTAAAAAATTTTTTCCTAATATCCAACCTGAATCTCCCTCCCTCTATTTTAAAATCATTACTCCTTTTCCTATCCCAACTGGCCCTCCTGAACAGCCTCTCCCCATCTTTCTTGTAGGCCCCCTTGAGGTACTGGAAGACCGCTATAAGGTCATCCCGGAGCCTCCTCTTCTCCAGGCTGAACAGCCCCAACTCTTTCAGCCTGTCCTCATAGGAAAGGTGCTCCAGCCCTCGCATCATCTTCGTGGCCCTCCTCTGGACCCTCTCCAACTGGTCCATGTCCTTCTTATGTTGGGGACTCCAGAACTGGACACAATACTCCAAGTGAGGTCTCACGAGGGCAGAGTAGAGGGGGAGAATCACCTCCTTCGACCTGCTGGCCACGCTCCTCTTGATGCAGCCCAGGACACAGTTGGCCTTCTGGGCCGCAAGAGTACATTGCCGGCTCATATTGAGCTTCTCATCCACCAGTGCTCCCAAGTCCTTCTCCCCAGGGCTGCTCTCGATCCATTCACCACCCAGTCTGTATTTGTGGCTGGGATTGCCATGACCCAGATGTAGGACCTTGCATTTGGCCTGGTTAAACTTCATGAGGTTGGTACGGCCATGAAGTCTACAAGTGGTGGTCAGTTTTTAAGTACCACCTTTTAAAAAGCACAGGAGCAGGCAATTCCAGTTTGTTGTGAGGTGGCATGTGAGGCAGAAGACCTCTTGGAACTCACGAGAGAAAAGAAATTGTACAGTCTCTGGAAGGAAGGTCAGGCTTTGCAGGAAGATTATAGAGCTGTGGTTTGCATAAGCAGGGAGAAGATACAAAAGTCCAAAGCTCAGTTCAAATGGAACATGGCCAGTGTGGTGTCAGACAACAAGAAAGGCTTTTTCATGTATGTTAATGGCACGAAGAAATCCAAGGAAAACTTCAGACGGATAATTGTTAAAGGTGGTCACATGACTAAGAGGGAGGAAGAAATAGGAGAGGCATTCAAGGCTTTTTTTATTAAAGTCTTTACAAATGCTGAAAGACCTTAGGCTACCCAGTTCTTGCTGGCAACTGCTGTATCACGATGTGCTCTGGAAATATCCTTTTAACAAATTTGTGGAGGAGTTAAGATTTTCTTTTCTGTTCATTGGCAGGGATTTTGGTAAAGTAAGAGATGGACTATGTGGAAAAAATATATCCAGTACTTGCAAGTTAGCTGGAGCAGCTACCGGTGCTGCCATTACCTGGGGAAGATGTGAGGACTCATACAGTTCTCTCTTTGGCTGCTGAAACGAGGGACAATCACCAGAAAACACGTTTGGAGGCCTATGAGATTGCTAAGGGTGGTACTGTTGCTCTTCAAAAGTACTTGGCATACGAGGAGCAGAGCCATTAGGAACAGGGGGAAATAATTCCTGCTTTTCCAGGAGAAAAGAAGGCAGAGGTGGAACAGTCCCAGGAGACTCTGGAGGACTCCAGCCCTGTTGTTCAGGAAGTGTTTCAATGTTTTACAGAGGCTGTGGCAGCAACAAATGTTCAGACTTCTGTCATGGGTCATACTACAGCTGTGGTCTCTGGGAACTGCAAGAAGTGACTGAGGATGGCCAAGAAGCATCAGACACACCACTAAGGAAGAGGAAGATTCCCTAAGACTTAGTGGCACACCTTGTAAAGATTACTGTTGAAACAAAAGCATTCATAGTATCATGGAATCATAGCATGTTTTTAGTAGGAAAGAGACCTTTAAAGGTCATCTAGTCCAATCCTTCCCCTACCATGGGGAATTGGTACAATCTTTAAACTTTGCTGTCTGTACGTGTCTATTGAAACAAAAGATTGAGTTTTTTAAATATACTTAGCCTTTTAAATACACTTTTAAATACGCTTGGTTTTGCAGTTGAGTTGCAAGTTTTATTTACAGACTATATTTATGAAAATTGCTAAGAGAGATGTTGGCCTGCATCTTCTGAAATATATTTTAAGGAGCTGTGGTCATGGAGTCCTATTACAAAACACATCACCAGGTGATCGTTTTGTACTGGATTGTTAAAATGCAGTATAAAAATCTGTTCAAAAGGTAATCCCTTGTTATGGTGATGTAGGAAAAAATGCACTGGTATCCACAGGCCACGGAGGGAGGGTGCTGCAGTTGCTTCCTCTGGAAAGCAATATCCATGGCTTTGTGTTTTAAAAAGGCCATGATGATTTCATGATAGAAAAGGTTGGA